GTATGTTTATTGCAGCACTGTTCACAATAGCAAAGACTTGGAACCAACCCAAATGCCCATCAATGATAGACTGGATAAAGAAAATGTGGCACATATACACCATGGAATATTATGCAGCTATAAAAAAGGATGAGTTCATGTCCTTTGCAGGCACAAGTATGAAGCTGGAAACCATCAGTCTCAGCAAACTAACAAAGGAACAAAAAACCAACCACCACATGTTCTCACTCATAACTTGAGGTGAACAATGAGAACACATAGACACAGGGAGGGGAACATCACACACCAGGCCTGTCAAGGGGTGGGGGTCTAGGGGAGGGATAGCATTAGGAGAAATACCTAATGTAGGTGATGGGTTGGTGGGTGCAGCAAACCACCATGGCACATGTATACCTATCTAACAAACCTGCACATTCTGCACATGTATCCCAGAATTTAAAGTATAATAAAAGTCAGATTTCTCCAAAAGGTGAAAACTCAGACCAGAAAAAAAAACTTCCCCAAAGCCCAGAATAGAATAAAACTAGAAAGCTCCTCGATTATGATATTAGTTCTAGAATAGTCCCCACTCCACTCCCAATTCAGTGCTCAGAAGTAGAAGACAGATAATTCAAATTGGATTAAAGGCATAACACAGATCCTTGTTGTACATAAATCAAATCCTCAAGGGAACACAAAGTATTACCATCTTATTCACAAAGTTTCAAGCCTAAAGGAAGAAGTTAGTCCAGATTAGGGCATCCTAATCCTTCCAGTTCTATTATCATATAAAAACAACTTAAAATACTTGCAAGAAATATTATATCTATCCATAAAAAGGGAGTTAACAAAAGATACCATGATCTTAAAAATACTTTATGACAAAACGCTACCTTTGAGGGAGTACCCTGTCACCTGCATGTAGCAAGTTGGTATTACAATAAACATTCTAACAGTCCAAACCAAAAGAGCTTTTAAAATTACTCTAAAACGTTCGTTACTAAAAACCAAGGCAACCTAGGAAAATGTTTTTAAAGAATATTTAATGATATAGGACAATTTTTACACTATTACTATAATCTCAATTTTATTTATATACACAGAAAACAAGATAAAGTATATAAAACAGTGAATGTAATGGCTCTCTTAAAGAGTGTATTTATGCATTATTTTTATGAAGCAGAGACCAAGTAAAATGAGATGCACATGAAGATCAGTAAGAATCAACTGTTTCCTTACCTCTTCCAAATTATTCTTTTCAACCAATTTCCATCTCAGTCGAGCTTTTAAGCTTTTCAATGTCTTCTTAATGGACAGCAAGTGATCTACACTGGGACTCTTATTTAAATATTCAATAAGCTGCTTTTTAAACTAAGTAAACAAAAGTTATGTATTTTCAAACACATAAGAAAAATATTGAACAGTGATCATTTATTATTTATCTGTTAAGATTCAACTAGTATTTACTGAGTTCAGGTTGAGATACTAAGAAAATCTTTATTTTTCAACAAGATAATTCAATAGATTTCCTTTTATCCATGTTTCTATTTAGAAGAATATCAGTTCCAGCACTCAAAGTAGCAAAGACAAAAGTAGTATTTCAAACTGAGACATACAATAAAACACACATTGTTAGTATGGATGAAAAAGGAATTTCTAGTGAGGATGTAAACTGAAATCATCTTTCCCAAAAGTGGTTTGAAAATATGTATCAAGTTTTAATAATGTCCATTCCTTTTAACTCAGTAATTATAGAATTTAGAAATCTGAGAAATAAAAACAAAACAAAATTATGCACAAACATATGTACAGTGTTATTTATGGTAGAAAAAATTGGAAGTAACCTTAATGTCCAACACACATGAAAGGTTAATGGTTAATGTTGCTGTACATCTACATAGGGATGAGGATTTTGTCACTCAAGATGACAGTATAGAAAAATCATTAATCATATAGAAAAATGTTCATAATATATCATTACATGAAGAAAGTATGTTTGAAATAACTTACAAAACAATGTGATGCATATATATATATATATATGCTCACAAACATATAGATGCACATCCAGTAACTACTCTAAAATTATCTCTTAGGCTAAGGGAATTATAAGCAATGTTTTATTTCTTATCTTTCTGTATATAGCAAATTATCTACAGTAGATGTGTATAGACAAAAAGAAAATGATGTTAATGGTTGTGGTTCTCATAGACATAAGAAAATAAAAGATTTAAAATAATTTAAAAATTTGATATATTTATATCATCAAAAATCACCATTTCCAGTTGATAGTGAATTCTAGTAATAATAGATAATTTACTGACACTGAGTATTAACAAGAGAAAAATTTAAGTGTTAAAAAGTTCAAAGCATCAATTTATAAGATCAATAAGAGAAAGCATAATCAAACCTCAATACTGTCCTTGTACTTAGCTTGTACTGTGGCAATGAGCCTTTCCTCTGAACGAATCTTTTGCAGTACTTGACTATATGTATTTAAAATTATCTCCTTGTCTGCATCACCTTGATCCTAAAGGAAATCACACACATAGAATTATACACAAAGGAATATCCAAAAGAGCTAAAGTCTCTAATAACAATAGATAAACTTCAAAATTATGCCTTTAACGGATTTCTGTAATGATTTCAAAACAGTTCTTAAACACGAATGTTTTCCTAGACAGAAGACAGACAGATATCAAAGATGTTCATATGGAGGCCAGGCAACATAGTGAGACCCAGTCCCTAAAAAATATTTTTTTAATTAACTGAGCACAGTGGTATTCACCTGTAGTCCTAGCTACAAGGGAGGCTGAGGCAGGGAGATTGAGGAGTTCAAGGCTGCAGTGAGCTAGGATCACATCAATGCACTCCAGCCTGGGCGACAGAGCAAGACACTGTCTCTCTAAAAAAACCAAAGCCATTCATATGGGAAACTTTACCCCTATTACACCATTATTCCCAAAGCTGTGTGGAGTAAGGGCATTAATGGAAATCAGGGATACTAATATGCTAAATATAAGAACTATAAACAACATATAGACCTTCAACACCTTACTTTTAGAAATAGCCTGTTAACAACTACTTCTAAAACCAACTCTGACAAAACTATCTAAATCAGGACTATTTAACAATATAAAACTTCTTAATGTATTTTCAATGCCAATATGAATAAAATTATAAAAAGTAAAAAAAAAGAAAAAACAAGAAAATGAGAAGCCTAACCACTGAAACACTGGAAAGCAGCCTGAATAACTGGGAAAGAGTCCCAGTGAGCAATAAATAAAATTACAAAACACCCTTTGGAGTAGCTACACTAATTTTTACCTTGACACAGTAACAAAGAATATACACAATGGTGAAAGAAAGAGGATGACGAATCCATCTTGTGTGTCAACTTTCAGATCTCTCTCAGATTTTAAGTTTTCACAAACTCTAAAGAGTCTCTTCTTATAGTCATTGGGTATGACAGATTCAAGAATCAAATGATTTAGACAGATTGTTCACTCAAATTAAGAGCGGTTTTCTTAGAATTAAACAGATTTTTTATGTGAAATGTCCTATTAAAACAAAAACGTCACCTAAGAATAAAACTTTGCATTGTGTTTGGATTAGAAGTTGACATGGTTACTCTTTCAAACAAGCCTATTAGAAGAAAGCTAAGATCAGTCTTAATACCTTCTAACTAGCAAGAAAAACTCTCTTATTGGTTAATACTTTCTAACCATGAAAGGAAACCACATTGCTTCAAAGGCGGCAATAATAAAGAATATCGATACTCACAACCAGAGCTATCTCCAGCTCTTTGCAGACACTTGACTCAGTCTTCTCTAGGATTTCATCAATATTATCAACTGTGTCTTCAGAAATCAGTGGTTCTTCCATAGATAGGTCAAAAACCTCATTTGCAAAAATAAACACATGAAACATCTCATCTAATTCAATCAGCATGCATTATGCCTTAATACCTGAAGCAGAGTATTAAGCTATACCCTGGACAATGTAAAAGAAATAAGAATGCATAAAAAAAAGTGCCTACCCTCATAAAATTTATGCACTGAAAGGAAAAAGGTACATATGCATAGCAAACCGTAAGAAAATAAATGGTTAAGAGAGGGAAGAGGACAATCCTCAGGAAAAGTTGAGAAAAAGGAGGAACAAGACTGATACGATTTTTTTGAGGCTAATAAAAGGAGCAATCTGACTAAAAGCTAATAAAGAACCTTGACTGGTAAGGTGGCAAGTTTAAATCTGATACATAGTAGGTAGACGATGTCAGCTCTTGAACAAAGCATGTGATTTTTAAAATATATATTCCCTGGTTTATGCTACAAACACAACAGGGCAGGAGCTTTTATTACCTTTAAGGTTCTTTGGAACCATGCTACCAGACGCTGCAGAGAAGCGTCTGTTTCGCTTCTAACATTGGTGAACTCCTCTCTTTTATCACACTTCCAGTCATAAAATTTTTTAAGTATTTCATCAGAATTTGCTCCTTCTTTGGCTTCTCCATACACTGCTTCTAAAGAGACTGACAAATCCTGCAGAGAGATACACTTCTGTTTATTAAAGTTTATTAACTCATTCAGGATTCAAGCACTGTGTTAGGATCTAAGGCGCAGAAAAGCAGTATGCTGAATCCCCATTCTTGAGAATTTCATAAATACAACTTAGAATCATCAGACAGAGATGAAAACAAAAACCTACTTAGAAGGTGGTTTATTTGGACCATAACAGTAAAGTTTATTAAGTGAATTAGTTACAAATAGAAAGCTTTATATCCTTACAGTTTTTAATTAAGTAGAAATTACCCTATTTTCCTAACTTTTTTGTATAAATTTATTGGGTAAAAGAGTAATTTTGTTACATGGATATATTGTGTAGTGGTAGAGTCTGGGCTTTAGTGTATCTATCATCCAAATGTACACTGAACCGATTAACTTCTCAACATCCACCACCCTCTACCCCTACCATCCTTCTGAGTCTCCCTTGTCTATCATAAGAATCACTACTGTTTGTCCTGCCATGAAAATTTCTAAGACCTATTGCTAAAAAAAAAAATAAACTACATGCCAAAATATACAAATAATTCTAGTTAAGTAAAGACATTAAACATATATATGGACAATCATGCATCATTTAACGACACAAATATCTTCTAAGAAATGCAACGTGAGGCAATTTCATCATTATGCAAACATCATGGAGTGTATTGATGCAAACCTAGATGATACAGTTTACGATACAACCAAACTACATTCTATAGCCTACTGCTCCTAGATACAGCCTGTTACTGTACTGAATAATGTAAGCAACTGTAACAACAATTGCCTATCTAAACATAGAAAAGGTACAGTAAAAATAAGTACTATAATTTTATGGCACCACCACCATATATGCAGTCCATCATTGACCAAACCATGCAGCACCTGACTGCACTTAAAGGTATTTTCTAAATGAATTGGCTGGCTGCGTTTGTTGGGGCAGGTGGGCAAAAAAAAAACTAATAATAATTAAATAAAAGCAAATAAACAAATAAATAACAATAATAAATACTTTTTTTAATGTAATAAAGAATTGGAGGGGGGGGCGCCCAAGATGGCCGAATACAAACAGCTCCAGCCTCCAGCTCCCAGAGTGAGGGAAACAGAAGACGGGTGATTTCCACATTTTCAACTGAGGTACCAGGTTCATCTCACTGGGGCGTGTCGGACAGTTGGTGCTGGTCAGTGGGTGCAGCCCAATCAGCAAGAGCTGAAGCAGGGCAAGGCACTGCCTCACCTGGGAAGCGCAAGAGGGAAGGGAATTCCTTTTCCTAGCCAAGGGAAACTCAGACACACAACACCTGGAAAACTGGGTAACTCCCACCCTAATACTGTGCTTTACCAAGGGTCTTAGAAAACGGAACACCAGGAGATTATATCCCACATCTGGCCAGGAGGGTCCCACGCCCA